AAACTTTTTTATTTATAAAAGTATTTGAATGAAATGTGATACATAGGCACTTGGTATAAATGAAAATCAAACGCCAGTTTCAAAATTTGGTTTTGCGCATACGCAGTGTCAACGTTTTTATTTATGGAAGCATTTAAATGAAATTTGATACATAGGTGCTTGGAATAAAGGAAAATCTAGCACCAGTTTCAAAATTTTATTTTGCGCATGCGCAGTGCTAACTTTTTTATTTAGAAAAGCATTGAAATGAAATTCTTCTTATAAACAAAAATTGAAGTAGCACGTCAAAAATGGATTGCCCATGTGCAACGCTATCTTTCATATTTGTTGCCGGAAGTGGAAATGCGCTTTATGTATATCGTTTACGATTACTTTTTAACTTGTTCGATATTTGGGTCGTTATGATGTCGAGACTTGCACCAAGGAAGGAATTTTTCTATACGTTTATTACTAAAAAGTCATAATAAAAAATCAATTTTTTTCATGTAGGTATTAGGTACCATAATTTTACACTTTTACCATTTATTGTAGGTACATATAAATTCCATATTCTAAGGTTACAAAATGCTTAGAAAATGAAATTGTAATGACGTGTCAAAGAATAGATTGTGCATGCGTAATGCTAACTTTCTTATTTGTGAACGGATTTTTCTGAAATTTTAAAAGATCTATATATTGTTCCTTATTTATTTATGTCCAAAAATTTAAATATTTGCATGTCCATGTTTATAGGTTTAATGTGTGTTTTTACTTCTTATAATTTGTAACCATTTGACACATTTTTGCGTACGTGTTCCTATAATGTGTAGGTACCTATACAGGGTCATTCTTGACGAGCGTCAGTTAGAAAGATATGGAAAACCATTGAAAATGAAAATAAACTGATAAGTTCTTTAAGGGTTTTGGCACATGATGAATTGAACTAAAATATTTTCAAGATGGCGCCACTTCCGGAAATACCGGAAGTAGCCATCAACTTTGTTATTTTAAATAGGGACCCCCTATTTTTTCTACATTTTCGGATTCTACGTCGAATTTAAGAATTAAAAAAATGTGCTATTGTTTGCGTTTTGCCCGTCCGTCCGTCCGGACCCACTTCTACTGTTTTGAACTACTTCTAGGGGAATGGTCCTAGAGTCCTGGAATTTTTTGCAGTAGGTAGCCTATACCTTGAAGGTCTGTCAGACGGCCATCAAATTTCGCTGTTTCACTCTGTTGTGACGTTACGAAACGTCCATGTTATGTGCCTTTCTTACTGGGTAGTTTTATCCTTCATGGTACTCTAATGAAAGGTCTCAACGAAAGGAATTAATTTCTACCAACCATAGCCCTCCGCGACCTCTTACCGTGATATCGGATTGTCGGAAGAGGGTACTCACAAAGGGCGATTGAGATGTCTGCAAGAAATATATCCATTGGTGATGTCAAAACAAAAGCTATTTCGGTTAAAAAAAAATGTGCTTTATCTGCACAAGAGTTGTGCACAATTTACCCTTGTTTTCATTATTTGCAATTTAGATTGGACTTTTTTTTGTAGTAGGACATTCCTCTCCTTTGTTGTTCTTGGTGCATTTTATTTCAAAATGTGGGCGGATTTTCCCGAAACTAAAAAATCAATTGGGTTACACGTGCTATTTCTTTCGCAAAAAAGACTGATAACGTGGAAATGCGCCTTTTATTGTAGACGATTCTGATAATAAAGTGGAGTTTTACCTGCGCATTGTTATTACATAAAATTCAGATACCTATCAAGAAACTTGCACCACGCAACGAATCCCTTCTTTAGTTACTGAATGTGCAATCATTTACCTATTGTTTTTTATCGGTTACTTCTTGTGCAATTAGGTAGTTGTCTTTTAATTTTAGTGGTTTGTAAAAAATGGTAAACATTTGTAAGTGTCAATTCCAATAATTCGGGTTTGATGAGAAATTTAAACGTAAAAAGGTAAGATAAGGAGCTTCATATGTTCTATCTAACAAGTATTATTTAAAAAAAACCTTTTTGTTGGAGGTATGTGCAGTTTTGGAGCTACAACTTTTTGATCTGGCCTCCTACGTGCCTGAAAAACGGTCACAACCTTTCTTTTATCCTCAGAAACATAACCAATTTTCAATGCGGCCGGACGTTTCTAACCAAAGTGATCGCGCACACAGACAGACGAACAGACAGGCAGCAATATAAAATTATAAAGTATAAACGATCGCGAGGATAATTAATCTAAAAAGACATTATGTAAAATTGCCGTAATTAGCAGATATCATTTATAGCGAAAAATTGGTTTATTTTCATATGAATAGCAAATTTTATCTTAATTTATAGCAATGTCACTAAATACACAATACGCTTCTTTAATATTTGTGCGTTATACACATCCAATAATTAATTTCGTTCAAGTAATGTAAGAATTTACCTCGGAATTTACATATAAAATATAAGTGTGGCCAAACTAAAAGCTAACTAAGAAAATATTCTTTATTTCGAATAGAATACGAGGAGATAAGATTAGCAGAGAATTGTAAAACGTTGAAATATCTGTGCAGTAAAATATCTGCCTTTGAGAGTGGGACAAATGGGTGGAGCTATAATTATTCGTATCTATATTTTAAAAGTAGCGACATCTGAGCGGACTCACTTGTCATAACTGGCGTATGCAGAACCTTACAGACTCCTTCAAACTTATAAGCAAAATTGAACACGCCCAGCAGACACCGCAACTTAACTTTGCTATAAAAATGTTTTATACTTATAAACTTATATTATAAGGAAAAATGGCCGTCTAACATAACGGAAAATGCTGTCCGCAACCTGGCTACTATTATACCTACCTTATGTTTATAAATAAGGTAAACCAATCAAATTCCAGCAACAATAAATTTATCCGCAAGCGCGTTTCACTAAATTTCCCTTACGTTATATCATAAGAAAAAATGGCAGTCTAACGTAACGGAAAATACGTGTCCGCAAACTCGCTATTAATTATTGTCATTTTTGGTTACATTAGGGATACGTTCGAAAAAAAGGTGGCCACTCCGTAGGGATGGTAATGGTACGATAGCAATACCGGAAATAAACTTTAAATTTAAATAAGCATGTAGGTGAACGCGGAGTTTTGATTTTTGATTTTTTTGTTAATATCCAAATTATTTCGAATTGGAATTTCGTCGGTTCTGCGGCGCCTTTTCCTTTTCACGTTTGATAGAACTTTTCCGTAAGGTAATTGTAATTAAAATTATCTTCAGGTAGTCGTCGGCATAAATGTTTTAAGGGCTTGAAGGACAATCAGTAAATTTAACTACCCGTTACAAACTGACCATTTCCAATGAAAAATCAACCCACGAAAAAAATTGAGAAAAGAAAGTTAGAAAACTAAAATATTTTTTCGGCAAAACACGGTTATTTTGATGTGAAAACTTTGGCAGTGTACATTAGGCATAAATAATAAAACTGTGAAAAACCTTTTTTTTAATATATGAGTTTTTAGCGCCGTGACGTCATATAGCTGTTTTTTCAAATAGTAACCCACATTTTCTATTAACGAGCCTAAATTTTCGAGTAGTTACCAATTCAAATACTGGTATTAAGAGGGAGCAAAGTGACTGTAGACAATATGTCAATTATTGGTAATAAATACAAACAAAGTAAAAAAAGAGCGCGTGAAGTCGCAACAACGTGAGTTTAGGACCGAGGTATTTATTTACGAGAACGTATCATAAAAAAATTATCGACCATCGTGAACTAATTAGAATTATCAATTTAGTAAATGGAAAATTTCGTTTTTGTCCGAGTATAACAAAGACACGGAATTCGGAACAGAACGAAAAAAATAGCGGGTTATACACGATACTCTTGTAGCAAACATTTTTGCCTAGAAAAGATATCAACACTAACTGGAGTGTAGCGGTCATTTCTTTTACGAGTTACTGTAAAGTTTGTGACTACCAGTTATTTCGTAGTCTTATATTATATGAACGCGCGTTTGAACGTCACTAAACTAATTTATATACAAGGTGTCCCATACATCTTAAGACAGTCGATTAAGGCGGAAACTAGCGAGGATATCAAAAAATGATTTATATAACATATTCTTCATATGGAGAAGCCCATTCAATGATGCTATGCACATTTTCAGGTGTAGGGCAAGTTAATTTTTTGAAATAGAGAGTCTATACTTTTTATTCATTATTTTTATTACACATCGGAAGATCATAAACTTTCGTGGGAAAGATTTTTTGCCTACAGTTACAATTTTTTGAAGCCACTCTTCCAAAAACGCGATTTTTGAGTTGTTCTGTCAACCCCATCGGATTTTTTATTAAAATGAGCTAGCTGATTGGTAATAAATTTCTGATAGTAAAAACTTGTCGAGTATTTCTTTGTATTAAAATGAACGCAATCGTCTAATATCAGTCGCCATTACAATAAATTGTTTCTGAATTTTGTCTTATATCGCTCTTTGCCAATTATTAAATTTCATATTACTGTATTAGGTATGCGGAGAAATATAACGATACCTGAGAGGATCTCATGTAAAACGGAATTATGTCGAACCCTTATACATCAACTACGAAGTTATCTATGGTAACAGAAGTAATTACTTAGTTATAGGTAGACATAACATTTACGGTGCTAACATGCCTGCAACTCCATTTAATCAATAAGATTACGTAATATATTTAACATTCAAATAACGCCGGTATGAATGGCTTGCACGACAATTATCTAATAAATCACCTGGCCCTCTTAGTCATCTATATTAAAGGAAGTTCGACCAGACGTAACCTCCAGAAAATAAGATTGATTGAGACATATGAAGGGTCATTCATATGGGTTTTGTATGTTATAGTACTCTAATTCTGTGTCACCTTTCATTTATAGTTTATACTTCATTCCAAGTTTATAAATAGAGTAATTGTATATAATGGACATTTAATGGAACTAATTACTTTAGTATAATCACTCATTGCCTCATACTTATAATTTTCAATGTTCAAAGTTCATAATGATTTGTTGCGAAAAACATTTGACGCCAAGGAAGCAGCAACGTAAGCGAGAATCTTGCAATGATTTCATCCCCAATATTATCTTCGAAAGTTGACAGATTTACCATTATATTAGCTTTGAATATGTTATATTCAAAGCCATTAGTAAGACAGCGTGATGTTGGTGCACAATACTTTTTCTCCTAGCCACTGTATTGTACTACTGCTGTATGGTTTATTGTCACGCACAACTTGTGCACATTACCACTTGATACTCGTAAAGTCAATGAAATTGGAAATTATTTCTAGCTTCCTATTACTATAGCCGCTAGGGGGTGAAACATGCCCTACAATTTCTACAAAACAATGAAACCGAGTTTGTTCTATTTCATACCAGACGATATATTAACAAGATACAAATAATCGCATACGATGTTCAGAAGGGGATTTTTTTGCTACTCAGCTCGTATTCGGAAACCAGAATTTTAATTCGGCTCGTATTCAACACCACGGATCCTTCCACTCGATTGGCGAAGGTTTGACATTGCTGTCTCTTTTCGAGTTCTACGAGGAACAGAAGGAGAGGCAGAGGGAGAAAATCATCTTAATTCTTAAAAAATGCGCTAAAAATTAAAACTTGATTATTTAATTACCAGTCTCCCTAACGTCCTAAAGATTTACCAGGATTTTCGGAAACTGCTGCAGTATCATTGTCGCTGAGTGCTTCAAGTCCCGTTATCCTTTTTCCCAGTATGTTCCGTACAACAGCATCTGTAGGACTTGTAGAGAAATGAACCTTTCACCGATGTGCTCTCTGGTCAATCGCAAAAGGTCTACGATAATGAAGTCTTGTACCTTTACACGGGAACAATTAGAAAGTTCCCAATTATGTTCGGCAGCTGGTTTTGCTCATCAGCGGTTAAAACACGACAATAATTTTGACATAATTCTTGTACGAAAACGGCTGCTTCGTTACACCTGGACCTTATAAAATTATGCGGTCCGAATTTTGGAGATTTCACGATTTCCTCTGATTGCGCAATCCGCCAGTGAGGAGAATGTCATTTAAAATTACGTTATCTAGGTATAAAACAGGGGCAATCCTGCAACCGATGTCGATGCCCTTATGTCTCGTGCCCTAATGTCCTAGACCCTTCCCATTTCTCTGAAAACTACGTGCATTCAGCCCGGAACTGTTCCACCAATATAATCTAATTTGTTTTAGCCAATCAAATCCCTAGAAACTTATTTACGTAGATTCTCAAATCGGCAAAATTGGCAGTTTTCCAGCTGCGTAGTGCCATTATCTACGACCGGATATGATTCAGCTGGACCTTACCGTATCTTTCATTAATTTTGGCATATCGTTCTTGACTCCGCTTCGGGAACTATTCACCAAAAAAAAAGCGAGTGAGCAAGTGACAACCTAAATAAAATTATCACGAGTGGGTGATTGAATAGCAAACCCCCTGAAGTGATTTGTGATTGGCCTAATGATCCTCCCTCATCATTATTCATTACGAAGCATTTGTTTTTGCGAATCTCTCAACTTTCATAAAACGGTAATACTATTGCGATCAAAAATGAGTTGCTGTCGAGTCACCTTTGCAATTTTTGTTTACATGGGAAATCGTACTTAACTTGAACTTCCAAAGGCGACTCGGCAGCAACTCTTTTTTGATCGCCCATTACTTCGTAATTAAAGAATTATCTACTCTGGATGTTTCAAGCATATGTTTAAACACATTTATGAGAAGGAGAGTTAGTTTGGCAGCTTTTTGCACATCCCCTTTATACCCTTTTCCTCAGCTCTGTTGATAATTGTATTGATCTGAATTAACATTCCGAATAGCTACTGATTTTGATGGGGTTTGAAGGAGGTCGAGGAGAAGCGCTATGGTTGGTAGAAATTAAATTCCTGTCGTTGAGATCTTTCATTAGAGTACCATGAAGGATAAAACCAGTTCCTCCCCCCCCAACCCCGTACTTGATAAGAGGACAGAAAGAAAGGCAGTAGTTGATAGAGACGGTTCCTTTCGTTGCGACCCCCCCCCCTCAGGCCCCGTCGCTCACTGATCTCGAAAAAGAATCGCACGGGAATGTTATAGTTTGTACAAACCAATTTATTTCGATAAGACCTTTCATTAAAATACCATGAAGGGTAGAACATGTTTTTCCCCCCTCCCCCATTTTCTAAAGTTTAACTTGTCACCACTAAAGATATGCGTATGCAAAATCTGAGACCAATTGGTTGTCGTATGTAAAAGTTATGCACGTTTTCCTTTCAAAAACAGCATCTCAGGATAAAATTCGTGGAGGGGGGGCCTTTTAGACAGCGAAATTTGATGGCTGTCTGACACACCTTCAAGGTATAGGCTACATACTGCATAAAAAAATCCAGGGCTCTAGGACCATTCCCTTAGAAGTAGTTCGAAACGGCAGAAGTGGCTCCGGACGGACGGACGGACAAAATGCAAGCAATAGCACATTTTTTTATTCTTAAAAAATGCGATAAAAAATCTCGATAAAGACTTAATTTTATTAATTTAGTAATCTCCGTAGCCTCGGCCACTTTCAACAACTTCAAGGCATTATTTAAACGAATGTTGAATAACACATAAAATGTCTATGGACACGAATATCAAATTTAACATGAAAACTCTAATCTGGGTCACAATTTGGGTTCGATTAAATACACAGCTACTTGATTGACAAAGACAAAAATTTATTCACTAAGACATAAAAAATTAAACACATAAGCTGAAAGAAAGATATGCTTTGAGGACCAGATTTACACATACAACGCATGCATGCGATCGATATACAATTTATTAAAGAAATTTTACTACATACAGTTTTTAATAATTCAAAAACTGTTCGTTATCTTCTTTTCTATTACACTTAATCTTGATAACACGAACCGACTCTGTTGAATTTGATGATAAATCTTGTGGCTTTTCGGACAGTAGCAAGAATAAATCTTACTTTAGCGAATAAAGTACTTAACACTTCTCGCGAACTCGATTAATTTATTTGTCGTACATTAAATGAACTAACGTTCTTCAATAAACAAAGTTCACCATCAAAAAGTGAACGCCGTGTTAACATGCCCAAAGCGGTCCGTGCACTAACACTGGCGAACTACCACAAAAAATCCCCGTTTTTCGTTCCTTTCTCGTATTTAAAGGATCACCTCTCTTCCACATTATAAATCTCCTTTAAGATTCCGTAATCAAACAGGTAATCAGATCAAAATTTGATCAACGCCAGCTTTGTTATAAACCGCATACCTGGTGTGTTCTTATCAGCGTGCTTATCTTGAAACTAATTCAATTTCACTGTACGCAACGCCATAACAAAAGTTCGTATCGTAATGACCAGATAAATCTTTCAATATAACGCGCAGAATGACCAGCTGTTTCTACCTTTCAGTGTTACAATGATTTCCCACGTCTTTTTCCCGAATATTATGCCTTAATTTCTGCAGTAGTGTGGCAGAATAAACTGAGTTGACTGTGGTGTTGCGTTTTTTAATGTCAATAAGAAAAATACCCTCACAATACCAAAAGATCGGCGAATTTTTTCCATTCATCTGGTCCATCAACTGATCTTTAAGGTCTTGAGGAGAAACACTTGCTCGAGTAAGGAATTTAATCACAACTCGATACTCGAATTTATGCTTTCTTGACATGGCGTTAATAAGACAAACGTAAATAAGAAAATAAGGTTATAAAACTTACAACAACAAACAAAAATGCGTAGAACTTTCTTTTTAAAGTTGTAGTGAAGTCTGCTATTTCCCCAATAACTCATTGGGCTTCATTAATGATTTTTTTTGTTCCAGATAAGCCATTTACAATTTTGGCCCCATCGAACGCCGCCAAGCTACACGCGACCGGTACACAGCGAGAAAATTTCATCAAACAGATAATCCTAGACCACGTAGTATTAGGATCGATAGTTAACATTACAAATAATACAAAAGAAATATCTTTTGAGACACTAAGAGGCAAAACTGTACACGTACGTCGCAAAGAGGATAAGTTACTGGCGAATGACGTGCTCATACTTCAGTCTAATGTAGGTGTTCCCAACGGTGTGATAATCGTTTTGGACAAGTACCTGTTCTCAGATGAGCTTTCTATTAAGAAAAATACGTCACAAGCAAAACTGAACGTTAGCTCTCACACCGTAGTGACTGTGAAGGAACAGCCATCGGTTCAGTCTAATACAACATTTATTCAAAATGTTCTACAAGTCTTATCCTACCTTAAAAGCGGCGTTAGAGTCTTCCAACATTTCCTGTCGAGATCCAATGTTTCCAAATTACTAGAAGACGGTAAGTTGACAAGCGATATAAAATTGCGACGTTTCTTCCGGAAAAAGGAATATAATTTGATTTAGAATTGAAATACGTGTCTGTATTTTCAAATCTGACGCAACTCGATTCTGTTTATAGCGAATTTCATGACGATATTCCATAAACCAAAGTTTCTGAATGTGCGAGTTTAATGAGAACTAGAGTTTACGTCACTACCGTAATGTAATTTGCAGTACAAGTCGGTCATGAGTAAAGCTGCACCAAGAGGAACTATTGTAAAGTTTTGGTGCAAATTGAACAAAGTTGCGTTTTAGAAATGAATCGTCCAAATCCCAACTTAGTTTTGCCGTGTTGTGTTGGATGAGCTCCGCAAAACTAGAATTTCTATAAACATGGAAAGGTCACATTTTCCATTCCTTAGAAAATTCTTTGTTTTTAGTGGAAAAAGAAATTCAATTTGAGTTGAAGGTGAAGGTTAATTTGAGGTTTTTGGGTATGATGAAATCACAGCTACTGAAAAATGGGTGGTTAAATTTGCTTTTTAGCCCTCTCTTGTGTTTCATTTAATTTTCATTAACCTTGCACGTTATGTTTGCTTTTCATGTTTGTATTTCATTTATCGTTGTTGTATTAATTAATTTGTATGATAACTTTACGCAATTACTTTATCACAGTACAATGTTATGGTAGCACACCCTCAAAATCGGTTGTGCCTTATTTCGATATACAGAAATTTCACAACCCTGTGCGTGGTGTAGAAATATTCTTACAACAAATTCTTATAAATTCACTTTATAACCACATAAATAATTTATTGTAAGGAAAATTGATAAACTTTCTGAATTAGGTAACTTATTCCTATATCCCTATTGTGCGGAAACTTTCGCAATTAATTTTCTGCAGCTCATTAATTATCGGGCTAAATAGCGTTCTTTTATAAACTTAAGAGATAGAGATGTTTCCAAATTGGGTTCAGACACGGTTTAAATACTTCTCGCGATGCTAGTTTTATGCATTTCAAGATTTCCGTTAGTGTCGCGCACGATTCTTTATTGAGAAATTAGCTCAAAGCATAATAATTGTTATTCTTTGTTATTGCAGGGAAAATTTAACAATATAATATTTTTCTTTAAGGCATTTCCAATACTTCAGATTTTAGCTTCTGGATTCAACGGCCTTGAATTCTGCAAGTGGTTTTTAAGTTCATTTAATTATTAGAACCTTGGAAATACTTCGTATGCGTATTCTTCAAATTATTACTCCTTAGATTCTTTTGTTCCTGAATTTTGCACATTTTTTGGATTTTTGGATTCTTCAAAATCTTTCATTTTATCGAATTTTTTCTATTTGCCGTTTCTTGGAACGTTTTTTCAATTTTCTGAGAGGTTCTTCGAGTTTCTCAAATTCTTTAGAACGATCAAAACTTTCGGATTCTTTGAATTCTTCAGTTTCATCTATAATACTTTCGATTTTTCGGGTTTTCTTACTTATTTGTATTCGTCTGCTTCGAATTCTTCAGATTATTTCAATTATTCTAATTCTTTCGGTTTCCTTTGAATTTTCAAGTTTTTCGAATTCTTAATATCCGCAGACGCTTCAGATTTTTGAGGTTGTTCGAATGATTTCGAACTTTCGAATTTTTTGTATCCATAAGTCTTCAGGTTCACCTGATTTGGAATCTTTCGAATTATTGGTTTCCATTTATTTCTTTAATTTTTTCATTTTATTTTTGTAGGTTTCTTGGCATGCATTCAAATTGTCTGGATTATTTAGAAATTTCAATTTACATTCATGTGTTACTTAAATTCTTTGGATTTTTCCTTTTTCACAGGGCATTTGAATCTTCTGTTCTTTGCTTCCTTTGGATCTTCCGTATTTTTGGTTTTCTTTAGATTCTTCTCCTTTCATTCTTCGGAACCATCAAATGCTCGCATTTTTCAATATGCATATTTTCTGATTGTTTGCTTTCTCCCTATTTTTAGGATACTTCACATTTTTCCATTTTTTTTATTTCATAATATTCTTTCAATATTTTAAAGTTAAGAGTTCGAATTCTTCTCTGATTTATTCTACGGGTTTTATCCAATTCTCTGGTTTCTTTTTATCTGTATGATTTTTTAAATTCTTCCATTTTCTCATTCGCCCGTTTCTTCAGATCCTTTGAATTGTTCCGTTTTTTGGGTTTTTCTCCTCTCATTCTTCGGATCTATCAAACTCTCTTATTCTTCAGCTTCTTCGAACTCTTTGGGTTTTCTGGTTTTTGGGTTTCTTCCTCTTTTTAGGATATTTCACATTCTTCTTTGTTTGGAATCTTGCATTCGTCTTGAAATTACTTCTATTCGTCTAGAGTTCTTCAAATTTTTAGAATGGTTCAAATTTCGCCTACTCTTCCCATTTTTTTTATTTTTGCGATTCTTAACCTTATGTTATTTTCTTATTTTCGAGTTTATACGGGCCCGTCTAGATGCTTAAGAATTTGAAAATTTTTTCGTTCTAGCATTCTCCAAAAGCTTCAAATTTTTAGGATCATTCAGAGTGCTAATTCTTCAGATTCATTGGACTATTCTGTTTTTTTCGAACTTTTCCAATTTTTCAGACTCTTCCTAGAGTTTTGAATTTTCGGATCCTTCTGCTTATTTGGGTTTTTGTGACTCCATTTCTCACACTCAACATGACAACAATGGGCAATCAAGAAGGATATAACAATAAAGGGAATAGTGATAGAAAAAGGGGAGGAGTGGAAAAATGGCTAAAAGAAAAGAAGAGGCGGAAACTGAAGTAAGGGGAAATAACGTAGTAATCGTGGAACTAATATGAGAAAAGAAGAGAGGAGTTATGAGACGAAAGGGAAAGAAGGTGGAGGTAATGAAGTGTTGTTTAGTGAAGGAGGTAATGAAGACATTAATTAAGACGTTGATTTATAAGATTTTCATTGGCAAGATCGATTTCGACCAGAGAAAATCTTATAAATAAGAATGTTAATTAATGTCTTCATTACCTCCTTCACTAAACAACACTTTTCACTAGAGATGGAACAGTACATCCAGCGAAAGGGAAGTCAAAGGGAAGCGGAATATACATAGATAACGAGTTGATATATGAAGAAAACAGATGGAGGATCAAAGACAAAGGATTAGTGAGAACAGATACGAAAATAACGGGAGAGGAAAGGGCGTGGTTTGGATTTAAAAACTAAAAACAAAAGAGAAAATAGAGAGGAGGATAGAAGGGGGGGGGGGGGGAGCACAGACACAAACAACGGAAGTTAACAGAAAAAACACAGGAGTTGAATAATGTAAAGGAGAGTATTAAAAATGCCATAACGCGGAAACAAATAAGGGGAGGGGAGACATGAAAGGAGTGGTCGGACAAAGAGTGTACAGACGAGAGAAATAGATATACACAAATGATGGAGAAAGAAAGAAGAGAGAAGAGAAAATTTACAAGACGTTAAAGGACAGAATCAAGGAACTGTATGAAGAGACAAGATTGAGGATAAGAATAAAAGGGGAGGGATCCGAAGTGTTATGGGGATGTAAAAGACAGGAATGCTAATTTAATCTCTACTAACGAGACATGGAAAAAGTGGTAAGATAGTAGTGGGAAGAAGAAAGATCTGGTCTCTGGCATACGCGGACGACGCAGTGATCATGGCAACAGAGGTACAACAGATGAGGGAAATGTTGGGAAGAATAGAAAGCTATTAGGAAAGGAAAGGATTTGAGTTCAATGTAGAAAAGTCGAAGATGATAAGATTTGGGAAGGGAGGTGGAAGGAAAAAAATGGAAGGGGGGAAAGAATAGAAGAGGTAAAAGAAATTAAGCATTTAGGGTACCAAATACAAAGAAACAATGGAGCAAATGCGCAGAGAAGAGAATTAAGATAAAAGGGGGGTGGTTGCGATGAGACAGGTGCGCGGAATTGGAGAGAGGGGGTTCAAGAATGATTTTAGAACAAGAAAGTATACATTCGATGCAATGGGGAGAGGGGTGCTCATGTACGGAACGGAGATATGGGGGTGGAAGGAATGAGAGGAACTGGACTTGTATATTAGAGGAAGAAACAAAAATGGAAAAGATAAGGATAGTGCAGGGTGGTAACATTCGAGGAAAGGAGCGATAGAGAAAGCGAATTGGTGATAGAATGCTTGACAACGAGGATGAACGCAAAAGGAATGTGAGAAGAGCAAAGTGAAAAATATTACAAAAGAAATTGATGCGGACGGGACGGGACGGAGGTGGAAAGGAGAGGGGTAGGAAAGTGAGCTGACGAAAATATATCTAAATGCACACATATCCCAACAGAGGGTGAAGATAGGGAGCGGACAGTAGTAGTAGCTATAAAGAGCTAATAAGAGAGTGGGTACCAACATATTTGTGGGAAGGAAGGAAAAACATTACAACAATAGCCAGATTCAGATGCGGAAAGAGAGAGAAAGATAAATGATGAGATGAGATCAATTATAAATTATAATTTGTTTTGCCATTTTGGCGTCCAATAAAAATTGATTGATTGATTGAGGAAGACAAGGGTAAGAAGAGAGTACGAAGAGTGTAGGAAGACAGTAAAGAAGACAGTCTGCAGTGGAAATTCCCCGTATTTACTGTGTGAAAATTTTGATTTACATTAAAAATAAAATTCCAAAAACTAAGGAAACTTCCACGACCAACTAATTTACATAATTAGATAATATGTAAAAGAAATTTAGGTGTATATCGAGAACTAGCTACCGTTACACCTGAAGCTGTATTTTGTGTTTAATGTATAAACAGCGGACTGTTTTCTAGAATCACCACAATGGAGGGATATAGGGAGATTATATTTTGGCTGATCATCCTCGATTATGGGAAGTGTAAATATGAAATTTTCCTGATCCCCTTAAATTCGCTTTTGTTATTTTGTATTTCGCAACAAAATAATTTATGAACTAAATAAAACAGAGATAACTTACAGTAGATTGCTATCTATACTATTAATCACTCGGGGACCGATAAATGGGTGGAAATGTGCTCTGTCGACGTTTAGAAAAACTATTCCCTCTCTACAGTGCCCAATAATTTATCATTCCACCTCATTAATTAAAAATAATTGTATTGAAATGAAATTCAGTAGATACTGAATTCGGAGAGTATTTTAGAGCTAAGGATTTGTAATGCAAATTTCTCTTGTTTCGAGATTGATTGCTTCTGAGTGACACAGATCTGTTTACTCTTTTCTTGCAGGTGAAAACTATACGGTGTTTGTTCCAACCGATCACGCTTTCCACCGATGGCATCCTATCGATTGGGGATTTTACCCCTTTAGCGTGCCCGAGTTTACTGAAAGTGTTATAATTAATCATTTCGTCAAGGGAAACTATCTACAGGATGACGTTAAGGATAATCAAATTGTTACGACATTGGGAGGGCGACAAATCGTTTTTCGCAAAATACGTAATTATCTTTTTTCTTGTTACATTTCGGTACTGACATTTTTTCTATCATTAGCTTTTTTAATGGTAAATGGAGTTCAAGTCGTGAAAGGGGATACACCTGTTGCGAACGGAAACATTATGTTCACGGGAGAAGTTTTATTCGTGAATGAGTCGGTTGTATCGCGTTTACATCAGCAACACAGAGACAAAGAGACGCCGCCACTTCTAGCATTTCCATGGTTTGGGGCGCAATTTCTGTCGCACGCCTTCCTAGCGTTGGAGAGGGATAGGAGATTTTCGCACATTACACGGTTTTTAAATTTGGCGGATTTAGCTCCCCACGTTTCCGGAACAGGTTACACGTTCTTCGTGCCCGTAGATACGGCGTTTGAGGCAATCGGACTGGATAAGATGCCCGACAATTACTTATCAAATGGAAACGGCTTGCAAGTTCTATTAAACCACTTCGTCAAAGGAAGACTATATGACAGAGATTTAAAGGACGGAACGGAGTTGCTGTCGTTGGGGAATAGCACAATCAAGATCGCCCGAAAAAAAGGTAACTCTCCAAGTTATCTATATAGTGTGTAATCGTTTTCTTTCAGAAAGGGTCGATGTCAACGACGCAGTTATAGTTGAAAGTGAAGTGTTTGTATACAATTTAGGGACCATGTTTTACATTGACAAAGTTTTGTTTTCCAAAAGAGATTTTTTACCCACAAGTACTATAGCCAACGACATAATACCGACACAGCGTCGCAAAGTACCAAGCATCGTTGAGAAGGTCCCCGACGAGTTGCTGGAAGAGATGGGCTTGGAACCAGATCTGCTAACCGAAAACGACGCAACAACCTCCACAACAGTTTGGAGCACACCAAACGTGACCAGCAGTTCAAATGCCACGATAAAATAATGTTCATCCAATAAACTTGAGAACCATAAGTGTGCGCTTTGTAAATTAAGTATTTAGTGGGCGAATGCGTATATGTTTCTATCATCTGCATCCTTCATCCAGCCAAAAGTATAAAATTAGCTTTGTAAAATAAAATTGACTGATGTAAATGATCATAATAATATAAAAGTAAATATTTTACAAATTTGTAAATTTTATTATGTAACTTACACATTATGGCTAGTTACAGTATGTGTAGTTATAAATGTTATTACTTAATAAGTTTATTACTCGATTTAATAAGAATTATGTTACAATGTATATGTATGTTTTAATGTAAGAAAGGGTGATTATTTTAGTACAAAATATAGTATGAAGTAGTGTTGGCGTTTTAATCGAAATTTTCTTGTCTCAATTGGAAGAAGTAAGTAGAAGCAACTAATGGAACAAATGCTGTAATAATTTTTGTGAATTTTGAAATAGTTTGTTGATCCTATCTTTCGGCAAATAATTTCAAATACTGTAAAAGCTTTTACTTCCCTGTCACAATAAACCAGCAACAATCCTGAAAATCTCAAGAAGAACCAGGATGCAAAGTAGGTAGGGATTAATCAAAGCAACTAAGCGGTCGTTTTGAAATGTTCTCACAATATTTACAACGGAAATAATCTCCAAGTTAAATGACTCAAAAGGTTACATCGTTTTCAATGCGAACTCGAATGCGAATACTATAACAGTTATCTATAGTTGTTAAAATAAATACTCTGTACATCTTCTGGGCAGGTTGGGCTACCCCGTCGGAACGAACGGACCGCTAACACAATTTGCTTGAACTTTGGTAGTCCGTGCAAATCGGTTGCTTTAAGTTAAACGGTCCAATTACTTTTACCTTCTAGAAACAATTGTTCATTACGAAGTGCCCTTTCAATTCCATTCATTTACCATGTGTTCATTCAAGCTGGTAGCTTTCACCCATGTACGGCGTGTTCATTAATTCCGACATAAATTTAGGACCGTTGTTATTTGTATTATTAATTAATGATTTGGTTGATGTAGTAAAGCATGCGAATGTCTTGTTGTTCGCAGATGATCTAAAATTAAGCTATGAAATCAGAAACGTCTTGGATTGTAAAAAATTGCAGAGAGACCTTGATTCTATAGTTCAGAGTGGAGTAGCGATAATGAACTACCCCTTAATGTGGCAAAATGTAAATGTTTGCATTTTTCTAGGAAAGCACAAAATATTGTGTTCGAATACAATATACATGGGAAATTACTGGATGTTGTAAGCAATCATAAAGACCTGGGGGTTATGTTTGATCATAAATTGACATTTAAGTTGCACATTGAAAATGTGATTAAAGCTGCATATTCCAGTTTAGGATTTGTGTTACGATCGTCACAATATTTTAAAACCTTCAAATCTTACAATATACTATACTATGCATTCGTACGGTCCAAGCTGGAGTATGCAGCTATTATTTGGTCACCTTATATGTACCTACTAATAAACACACATCAGCAATTGAAATGATCCAGAATAAATTTATTAGATGTCTTCACTTTAGATTCACAGGATTGTATCCCCGCTATGAACATTATCGTGATTTAGCGAAATTGTACTATAGTGCTCTTAAGTGATCGTAGAAGGGATAGCTGCCTCTTATTTATATTTAAATTATTAAATAATCAAATTGATTCGAGTTACTTTCTTTAATAGGTTTCAACGTCCCGGATCCTAGAACAAGAGCAAATTTAATTTTTTTCAAAATTCCGCATGTAGGTACGTTCAATTGCCCATATTAATTCCCCTGTTCTACGCATGATGATTACTTACAATGAATTTCAAAGATCTCGAAATGAAAATCTGCAGCTGTTTGGCCTGTCCTTATCGACATTTAAATTAAGTTTGTGTTAGGTAATTAGTTAAGTTGATGATAGATACTCATAATTTTTTGTTGTTTGTTAACATTTGCATATGTCCTCAAACCTTAATATGGAATTAGTACTGTTGGTTTGAGAAGATTAATCAAATAAATAAATAATTCGTGTACGAAAAAGGGTGTTTCGTTATCATGTCATCAAAACAGCGGCATCCCCACGGCGCACAGTCCGTCCCAGAATTCAGCACTAAACCTTATTAAAGAAACCCTTAGAATTCTTGGGGGGTAAACTGGAACTCTAATCAGAACTCAAAAATTTGACCAAGAATCTCATGTAGAGAACAACTAAATCGGGAACGTATAGGTTCAAATGCCAGAAATAATTATAATTGGTGCTCGCAATTAGAACCACATCGTTTGCTTAACGTGTCGAACTAAGGCGTGCTCGCAGTTGAATGCGGAAAAGGGAAGTGAAAAAGCAAAGATTCACCTTGCTTGAGTGGAAAAAATCTACCGACAGATGACGCCAGTTGCCATTACTATTTTGATAAATGCCAGAGAATCTCGACCAAATAATGCAGTGACCGTAAAAAATTACCAATACGTGAATGAGAAAATAAACTGTTACAATTGTTTAATAAAGTGTTTAAACAATGATATGGTCCAAACAAATACTTATCCTCTATACAGGGCGTTTTTGGGAGCTGTAGTTAAAAGTTTCTGGGTACGTGAAATAGGTAGGTAGGTTTTTGAAAATGTGTGCTTAGGAGTTACTCTGAAGGCCGAATCGGCGGTTAATATTTTCAAAATGTTGGCACTTTCGGAAATACCGGAAGTAGCTAGAAACTTCATTATTTTAAATACCAATCCATATTTTTTATTGCATTGGTGCTCACTCGTCAAAATCATTAAACGGAACGGTCTATGTTGAATACAAATAGAAAATTACACTTTACCTCAGTTATATAGCGTCTAAAACTACCCTTTGAGTCGTCCAACTTTGGAATACTGGATCACCTTCGATTAGATCTCACGGATTGGAACAGGAAAAGCTTCATACTGAATTCTGGTTCGTAGAGGGAAGGTTTTTTGTTCGTAATCCTAAGTAATGATCAATGTTACGTAATCCAAACGTCAGAGTTAATTTTCTTAAAACGTATTAACTCTATACAAAGTTGTTTACGGCAGATGAGTAACGCTGACATGACAAGTGAACAGGCGCATTTTACCGTCGACAGTCAGATATTAATTTTCAAGGCTATCGCTATACTTGTCCGATCTAACACACACTCTTGTCGTGCAACCGTGTCTTATTGTGGATTTTTTTAAACCGTACTGCTTCATGGCCACCCACATAATCCCCTCCGAAAACCTATTACTTTCAATCCCCACTTTTTTTTAATTTTACAGAATACGCCTTCAGAAGTGGTTGCTAATAGCTTTACTGGTTCAAGCAATATACTTCATCCCCAATGCCCTGTTCCGCCACTAAAAAAGCATCTAAGGATCTTAAAGGGTCTTCTAGATAAGCTTTAGGAGGTTTTAATTGACTTTTAGAATCTTGATAAAATCCACAAAGTTCTTAGAAGCCCTTAGAAGTCCTTTAATACACTTTACAGCATTTACAGGGCGTGTCTGTAAAAACCTTTAAGAGCATTTGCGACTACAATGTTGTCGTAAACAATAAATCCAAAATTGTAAGAAAAACCCGTACGGTAATATATTCCTTATCTCACGAAAATGAGTGGAATAAGCAATTCTTGTCTTACGGGCGTAAATAAAAGCCTTGTGGTTTTTTGTAAGAGACTTGACAAGCCGCAAACGGTCTCCAAGGGCTACAAAATATTCTTCAAGGGTCTTCCAGAAGCGTTTATTTAAATACCTCTAAATAGCATTATGCGGGTCACTCTGTAATTGGGCGCATGCCTGTTGAGGGCCCAAAACAAGAGAGGGATAATAAATAAAATAAATAAATAAATAAAATAAATAAATATTATTTCCCACCGAGCCAAGCCTTTAAGGAGTGTTTATGAATCTTAAATGATCTATACGAACCTTTAAAAGCTGAACGTGTGTATCGACCTTTCAGAGTCGTTAGGCTTTTAGGACAACCAGTTTTTATGAGCTTTCGGAATATTAATTTTTAAAGAGGTTTCGAAAGTACCTTAAGGTTCGGTTTCATGTACAGGATCTGTATGGATCATCAATAATCTCAAACAACTTTCGATTACTGCCTTTAAGCTGTTTACGTGTTCCATAGTTAAGACGTTAAAGGAGTTTTATGAATCTTTTAGAGTTTAGACGGATTATTTAAAACTTTCAAGGAAGTGCCTAAAAAAGATCCCAATATTATTATTATTATTACTATTATTATCCCTCTCTTGTTTTGGGCCCTCAACAGGCATGCGCCCAATTACAGAGTGACCCGCATAATGCTATTTAGAGGTGCCTCTGCAGAAGGTCTTAAGTTGGTCTATACTACTCCGGTATTTTACCTTACGAATTAGGAAAACTGCAGGAAAACCTAATTCGGAGTAGCCGGTAGAATGCTCAGAACTGGCCTAAGGTAATTTCCATCTCCGCCACAGATGAAAAATTCACCTCAACCCAGGTTCGAACACCCGACCTTCGGATTTATAACCCAATGCTCCACCACTGAGCCATAAATCCAATTAATAGCGTCTTCGAGTCTTGTATGGATATTAATGGCGTTTAAGAAATGTGAAGGGCCTTTAAGACGTTTAGGAGCTTTTAAAACTGATAATGGATGGATTTCCAGTGGTACGCTGAAACTGATTCTGTGAAATTCCGCAACCAAGACCTTGATCTATATATTAAGAAAAAAAACACTGGAACGAACTACCGATCCGTCGTCGGTTCTAAAATAAAGAAAAAAAGTCCAAAGCCGTTAGTTCTACCCTTTTGTGTATCATGGTTGTTGAAAACTTAAAAAAGTAACGCTTTGCAGAAGTTGCTTCCAAACGAAACATTTACAGCTACTGGTAACCGCATGTTTTTTCAACAAAGTGCAAAAATAAGTGCCCAGGAAAATAAGTTGTGATAAATACTGAGGACCCTATGATAATCCGATAATGATTCAAAGGATGTTTTGGTTAATACGTACAACTTCATACCATATTCAAACTCTCTGTCCTCGACATATGTAAGGGAATTGTGCATGAAAATATCCTTAATAAGCGATAATTACGTAAATTTTATTTCAACAAACTTGTTAAAATGTTTATCTTGTTAATATCACAGATTAAAATAGTATTTTGTCTGTGTTAATATTGACGTTGTTAGTCTTTTGAATGCTAATTATTTTATGGGTACTCGTGTTGTGGAATACCCGGCACTTATACTACATTTCGGTCTCATCTCGGTCGTAATTATAATGTTCAAGCAGTAGTGTTCTACAATCATTTTTCACGGCATGTGATATCTAAGTCTAACTACTGTTACCTTAATCCTGTAGTAGTTGTTATCTTTTGTCGTAAAT